TTTTCTTTTGTTTTGTTTTTTGAATGAAGAGGGGTGTTGGGTTAATGGGGCGGACCGGGTCGATCCGTGTGAAGTGGACTGGGTTGTGGACAATTGTTTGGGCCTGGGGTTGAAAATTGAAGAAGTGGCCCAATCCGATTTTTATTTGTATTTTTGTTATCTTTTCTTCTTTTATTTTCTAAAACTAAATTATAAAAATACTTAAATTATTATTAAGAACTAAATTAAGTTATAAAAGCGCAAATTAACTACCAATAACAATTAACGCACAATTAAGTAATAATTAAGCATAAAATTGTTCATTTGGACATTAAATGCTAAAAATGCAAAAGATGCATATTTTTTGTAACTTTTTAATTTTTGTAAAACTAATTTAATTACTAACAATTATAGAATTAAATCCTACATGCAAATGCGACATATTTTTGTATTTTTTATTAATTTAACAAATAAGCAAACACAGACAAATACAAATAATTATCTAAAAATATCACAAAAGTACTCAAAATTGCACACCAAGAAAATCATTTTATTTTGCATTTTTTGGGAGTATTTCTCATATAGGGCAAAAATCACGTGTTACACAAGTAACCATTAAAGCATTACAAAAACAAATCAACAAAATGTTAACCCAAACAATCAACCAAGCAAAGCAACGACATACACAGAATAAAACAGTAAGATATGCTATGAAGCAAAATAGTAGCAGTAAGTTAGAAGTAGACCTTAACTATCTCAAAAACTTTGATTGAAAAAGCGGACCTTGATCGGGAAATAAAATCAGCAAATAGGAACCGCACCAGGACCTCGAACAGTGACCTCGGGCTCTAACCTCGAACTGTGACCTCGAAACAAACTCGACTCAATCAAACGAACTCCAATTCAGGCAGAAATCCAGGAAAAGAAACGGAACTTTTTTTTCTAATTTTTAATAAATGGAAAATACAACTTGAACCAAAAACTAATTTCAAACTATTTTCATTTTCCTCGTTCCCAGATTCTATCCCGTTTTTCCGATCCTTGCCTCCATTTTTTTCGATAATGTGTGTGTGTGTGTTAATGGGAGATGAGGGAACTAGGAGGGGTTGCTGATCCGTTTGGATTTGCTGCCGGCGTCGTCACTCGCCAGTGATCAATTCCGGCGAGGGAGGTGATGAGCGTTCTCTATTTTTGACTCCCTTTGTGGCCGCTCTCTTTTGGACTCTCTCTCCCGAAAGAGAAGGTCTCAACTTGGAGAACAAGAAAAAACTCTCAAAAATATGTGGTCCCCACACTAATAACAAAAATGAAATCTTCCTCAAATTATAAGTCATAACCAAAATCAAGTACGTCACATTTCCTTCCTATTTCCACGTTTTTTTCTTTTCTGTTATATTCCCTTTGTTTGTTTGTTTTTCCATTGCTTTTTTGTTTTTCATTTTTATTTTTCTAATTCCAAAGATGAATCAATATACTAGTTTTATCTAAAATAATAGAGAATAATTAAATGGAAAACAAGATAGTCACATTAAAGAAATCTAAATACTCAATATTTACTAAATATGTACCACTTAAAATCACACTAAACCAAGTAAAAATATTTTTTAGAACTCCTCTTTTTATGTTTTGTAAAAATAAAATAAAACTAACTAGACAAAATATTAATAAGCTAAAACAAAAGAAAATATTTTTGTAGTCTTTAATTTAAAAGATAAGATAAAGGAATTTTTTTTATAATAGTCAAAATAGTACTTTAGACTTAAAACTAATATCTAAGCACTGAAATTTGAAAAAATTCGGGGAGGGTCAAAATTACATGTCTACAACTGCCCTCTTTGACTGGAAACACGAAGGGTTTTCAGACAAAGAACGACGAGACAAGTTTTTTTGACCCGACCCTTATTTACAAAGAACAAAAATCAAAGAAGGAGAGTGTGACCGAGCCCTTGTATCTGAGCCGCCTACATATCCTTGGCTATAAAGGAATCAGGCCACGTGTAGTTCATAAGTGAATGAAGTTATGGAGTGTGTGGAGAGGATGAGATAGTCGAGTGAGATACCGTTCCGCCGAGGTTCCGGTCCGAGGTCTTGTTATTACATCAAATCGAAGTCTAAAAGAACTAAGCAAGCCTATCAATAATGAGTTACAAGATTCCTATCTATAAGTCTACTGAAGCTTGATTTTGAGTCTTGAATGGTTGTTCATGCAGACTTTTGATTTGAACCTTGATGCTTGCTAGCTGCAGGTACTGATTCATTCTTCCACGAATTCTTTGGATCAAGACCGGACATGCAGTGCTCGTAACTTCAACCACATATGCTTCTATATTTGGATTTACTTCTTTTTTTTTCTTTTCTTTCATCCTGGATTAAGACTTCTTATTTTGGTCATCTCGGACTGTTGACTCGCATTCTTGAGGCGAGCTTCTGCTACTTCTAACTTGAATTGACTTCTGAAATAACTTCCCTCGTTCTCCAGGTGGGTGCCTGCAATCAAAACAATAAATCAAACAAAATTTCTGCCCCAGTTTGTACTAGGAAGATTTGTGAGTTATTAGCAAAAGTGTAAACCACCTATGCTATTGATGCAATGAGGAGAGTAAAACTAAAGACTCGACTAGGATGTGCATCTCCTAGGGATGAACTCAAACGACTCAAACTAGGAAGTGTCTCTCTTAGTGATGAAACTTGAATGAACCAAACTAGGAAGTGCGTCTCCTAAGAATAAAACTTAAATGACCGAAGACTAGGAAGTGCATCTCCTAGGGGTGAAATTCAATTTAGGAAGTGCGTCTCCTAAAACAAAAATATAACCCAAAAGACCCAGACTAGGAAGTGCGTCTCCTAGGGGTGAAACTTCAATGACTAAAACTAGGAAGTGCGTCTCCTAGGAATGAACTTAAATGACCCAAAACTAGGAAGTGCGTCTCCTAGGGGCGAAACTTCAATGACTCAAACTAGAAAGTGTGTCTCCTAGGAATCAACTTAAATGACCCAAAACTAGGAAGTGCATCTCGTAGGGGTGAAACTTGAATGAACCAAAACTAGGAAGTGCATCTCGTAGGGGTGAAACTTGAATGAACCAAAACTAGGAAGTGTGTCTCCTCGGGTTAAAACTTGAGTAACTCAAACTAGGAAGTGTGTCTCCTAGGAATGAACTTAAATGACCCAAAACTAGGAAGTACGTCTCCTAGGGGTAAAATTTCAATTTAGGAAATGCGTATCCTAAAACAAAATATAACCTGAAGGACCCAGACTAGGAAGTGTGTCTCCTAGGGGTAAAATTTTAATGGCTCAAGCGAGGAAGTGTGTCTCCTAGGAATAAACTTAAATGACCCAAAACTAGGAAGTGCATCTCCTAGGGGTGAAACTCAGTTTAGGAAGTGCGTCTCCTAAAACAAAAATATAACCCGAAAGACCCAGACTAGGAAGTGCGTTTCCTAGGGGTGAAACTTCAATGACTAAAACTAGGAAGTGCGTCTCCTAGGAATGAATTTAAATGACCAAAGCTAGGAAGTGCGTCTCCTAACAAGTATAATCTGAAAGATCCCTACTAGGAAGTGCGTCTCCTAATGGGTAAAACTTCAATGACTCCAACTAGGACGTGCGTCTCCTATGGATGAATTTAAATGACCAACATTAGGAAGTGCGTCTCCTAAAAATAAAAATATAAATTGAAATACCCAGACTAGGAAGTGCATCTCCTAGGGGTAAAATCTCAATTTAGGAAGTGCGTATCCTAAAACAAAATGTAACTTGAATGGCCCAGACTAGGAAGTGCTTCTCCTAGGGGTGATGTGTGCTCTTCTCAATAGCCTTTGCGCAAGCAGAATTGAGGCATTACACCTAAAAAAATTCAAGTTTTGTTATGAACATAGCCTTCATCCCTGTTTCAGACAAAGAAAACTTGTGAGTTTAAAATACGGTGGTTAGTTTGTGGCCTTGACTACGAGGGCGATTTCTCTTGTACTTATCACGGTCAACTTGGACTTCAACTTGGAAGACAATGCTTGTTATCGACCGACCGCCCGTGCATATTCCTAATTCGTTCAAGTCCAATACCTCATGCTCGATGCATTACACTCGCGTTCCAACATTCACCAAATCTTTGCATTTCACATCAATCCCAAAAAACATCTATTATCACCAACTCAGTGCACACCCTATTCTCCTGTATCTCATGTTAATTCGATGTGCTTTCCAGAGGCTTTGTGTGATTAAAAAGTTGGTAGCAGATTTTGAAGTCATTTCTCACTTGTTTCGATAAAAACAGACTCAAAAGGGAATCAAACAAAACAAGAGGAACAAAATAAGGGGGGAAAACGAGATAAGATGGTATCTAACAAGAAAATATTTTTACCCAGGAAAAAGAACAAAGTAGAAACTAATCTGATTTGAAGGCCTGCTCCACTGATCATGACATGCATTTTGGATTAAGCAGCTTGATCTGTCAACCGAGTCTAATTTTTAACTCTTGCTATGCCTCTAAGCTGTGAAACTAGGCTTCAGCATTCCAATTGCCTCATTCGATCCACAATCCTCAGTCGACTTGTAGTGCCCTGAAGGGTTTTCACCATCAAGCCTCTCTCATTTTGCTCTTTTTTCTTAACTCACCGTCGCCTTATGGTGCCCATGAGGGTTTTCACCGTTAAGACTCTCTCATTTTATCATTTTCTCTCTTTGTGCCGAGAACAAAGGTATTACTCGTGATGCATGAAGATCATACTTTCACCACACATTTGATTTGGCATCCTCAAAGATTGGTCGGAAGATCTTTCTTTGGACTGTAATGTAGGCTTTTGGACAGGGTTGGAAAGAAAGAGTGGCATGGAGGTTCAAAATATTTAAGATGAAAGGGTTCAAAATTACAACTTTTGGAATTAGGTCTTTTGGCCAAATTAAAACTTCTGCCCCAGTTTCTTGGAGTCTGGGGATTTTTTTTTGATTTTTTTATGGGATTTCTGAGAAAATCTGCCCCACTCTTGATTTCGGGGGATTATGAAATAATTTATCTGGTATGACTGAACCGTAAGGCTGCCTACGTATCTTGAGGTGACAAGAATCAGGTCAAACGTAGTTCTAACATAAAGTTATTTTTTTTCTTTTCTCCTTTTTTCTCTTTTTTTTCTTTTTCTTCTTTTCTCTTTTCCTTTTTTCCTTCTTTTTATCTTTTTCTTTTCTAGTTCCTAACTCTATTTATGATTCCAAAAGAGGGTTATGAAACAAAAAATTAGGTCTCAAAAGGGGTAGCAAAAGATAAAAGTGTTTGGGTAGCAGAATAAAATGTCTTCGTCATACCAAACTTTAAAAATGCCAAGTGCGAACATGCAATTGAAGATAAGCAAAGAAACCATACATAGTATCTATTGATGGCATCAACACAAACAAAAAGTGCCAATGGGCAATACCTTTGTCCTAATGAATGATCCTTGTCAGTTCAAAGCAGACTTAATTCAAACTTATCTTGATATGGAAGAATGCATTTCAACACTGACTGATTTGCCTCAAACTGGTTGAGAGACATTTCCTTATTGTATGCCCTTATCATCCTCTTGATTTCCCAGACTTACTGCCTCAGTTTCACTCTATTCAAAGTTCGGGTCATCTTATAATGCGTAAATCTTTAATTGTTTCCTCAAACACATCCTTTTATCATATTCAAAATTGTGTCATTGCTTCATGATTAGACTAACTTTCAAGATCAGGCTGAGAATTATGCGTACATGTCATGTCACTAGAGTCATCATGAAAAGAACTATAAAAGGAAAAATGACCTAAACAAAAACTGACTAGAACTAACAGAAAATAAGAGATTGTATTAGACAGATGATGGAGAGGGTTTGAACAAGACAAGCAAAATAGACAT